CCGGAACACCTGCTGCATTTGTAGGGAGCGGTTCGCCTTCTGGACCAACGACAACACCGTCAGCATTTGTGGGAAGGGGATTTCCATCAGGTCCAACGACCGGGTACACTGGCCTCCCACTACGATCTGTTGGCATAATTTCGGCATCAAGTCCTTTAGCGGGAAATATGACGTTTCCACTGTTGTCAGTAGGCAATGGTTGCCCCTTACTGTTCACCGGCACACCTGCTGCATTAGTTGGAATGGGCTCGTTATCTGGACCAACAACTGCGCCCTCGGCATTAGTTGGCAAAGGTTTCCCATCAGGAGCTAAAACTGGATGAACTGGTCTGCCCTTAGAATCAGTCGGTAACGGCTCACCATCTAATCCCTTTGCAGGCAAAATAGCATTTCCTTCGTCATCTGTTGGCAGTGGCTCGCCGCGGCTGTTAACAGGAGCGCCGTATTCATCAGTTGGAACGATCCTACCGTCCGGAGCAATGAATGCTCCATTTGCATCAGTCGGTAATGGCTCTCCATCGGGTCCAATTACAGGGTGGACTGGTTTACCGGTTAGATCGGTTGGTAAGACAACAGCGTCAAGGCCTTCCTTAGGATACACTACGTTTCCTTGGTCGTCTGTTGGAAGTGGTTTACCACGATTGTTAACCGGAACACCTGCTGCATTTGTAGGGAGCGGTTCGCCTTCCGGACCAACGACAACACCGTCAGCATTTGTGGGAAGGGGATTTCCATCAGGTCCAACGACCGGGTACACTGGCCTCCCACTACGATCTGTTGGCATAATTTCGGCATCAAGTCCTTTAGCGGGAAATATGACGTTTCCACTGTTGTCAGTAGGCAATGGTTGCCCTTTACTGTTCACCGGCACACCTGCTGCATTAGTTGGAATGGGCTCGTTATCTGGACCAACAACTGCGCCCTCGGCATTAGTTGGCAGAGGTTTCCCATCTGGGCCAATTACAGGATAAATTGGGCGACCACTGCTATCAGTTGGTAGAGTTTCCATACCGATTCCATGGGCTGGATATATAGCGTTTCCCTGCACGTCCGTTGGCAGTGGTTCACCTCTGGTATTCACGGGTTCTCCAGCTTGATTTGTTGGAACTGGTTTACCATCTGGGCCCTCCACTTCTCCGTATACATTTGTTGGTAAAGGCTCACCGTTTGGTCCTATAATTTTTAAAGGTTTTGTCCTTCCATCTGCTGGTGGCTCTCGGCCTCCTAAAATGAATGTTCCGTCAGGTGATTTCCGAAGCACTTTCTTGTCATTGTCCAACGGAAGACCGTCCTTATTTGTGGGTACTGCGCTGCCATCAGGTCCAATGAATTTTCCCTCTTTGTTGTACTTCAATTTCTTTCCGCCATGCACTATTTCGATAGGTTTGCCGCTTGAGTCTGTGGGTGGTACAAAGTCGCCTTGGTGCACGAAGTTCCCGTCATCGTCTCTGGGAAGTACACTTCCATCCTCCCCCAATGGCAGACCTGCCTCATTGATGGGTATGAGGTTTCCGTTTTCATCAACATAATGTCCACTTTCATCAGTTGGTAGCATTTCTCCATCTGGAAATACCACTGGATAAATTGTGTGACCAAGCTCATCAGTTGGAAAGATCAGATCCGCACTTTCGGTGACACTCATCACGACAAAATTTCCATCATCATCAGTAGGATATGGCGATCCATCTTCTCCGACAGGCCTTCCTGCGGAATCTGTGGGAATTACGTTTCCGTCCACATCGACAACAAGTCCTTCATCATTCGTTCTGAAGGATGTCCCGTCTTCGGTGACAATGGGATAAATTGGCCGCATGTTTGAATCTGTTGGTAATGCTTGACCGTCCCTTCCAACAACTGGATATACCCACTCTCCTTTCTCATTTTTGTTTAGTGTGCTACCATCTGGCCCTATTGGCTGACCATCATCGTCTCTGTTTATTGGATTACCGTTGTTGTCAATAATTTCGCCTTGTGAATTCGTGGGTAAAGGAATTCCATCAGGTCCGACAATGGGCAGAATTTCCCGTCCAATTTCATCAGTGGGATGGGTTTTAAATGTTGTTTCGGTTGGAATGAATAACACTTGTCCATGTTCATTCGTTGGAAGCACAGAGGTGTCTTTTCCGATAGCTCTTCCACTAGAATCAGTCGCAACTGGCTCACCGTCTGGTCCCAATATTTGACCTTTTCCATCTGTTGGTAAGATTTCAGTGGAAATCTCTTGCTGTAACGTTTTATCAGACGTTTTCGCGTAGCGACCTTCATAAAATGATGGAATCGTCGATACTTCCTCAGGATGTTCATGTTCAGAGATGAACGTTGGTGGTGTCACCTAAAATAAACATGTACTTTAGAAAAGCAGGCATGTAAAGTTGCATATTTGGGCCAATAACAAGTAGGGACCCGCGCACAGCACAGCTCAATTTACTGGTAAATATTCTCAAACGAATAGAACTCACGTCAATCAAATGAGACGCTAACATACGATTTGCTAATGCAATTTTAGCCGGAGACAATCTTCATTATAGATCTATTTCTAGAGAGAAAGTTTTAAACCTCATTCTTTGTTAATGTTTCCCTATTCTGAAAGTTTCATGCAGAATTCTGAATAAGGAGTGTGTTTGCGGTTTTTGGAAGTTACTTTTCTCGAGAACTTCTGCAACTGACCTTAATAACACCATCCTCTTCAATCTCTTCGATAAGTTCACAAGACTTCCCATCTTCACCCAGTTTGAAGCCATTGTGGCAATAGCATGTTGTTGTAACAATTCCCTCATCATCTTCTCCAAACATGCATGAATGTGCACAGTCACATTGAAGGTCTTAAACATTAAGATGATTAGAGTTAATAGAAACAAAGAACATTTTGTGCCTCCAATGCCAACTATTGAAAGGTTTTATCAGCAGACTTAATATCACTTTGGTGCAACATTTCATTAAATGATTGTTCCATTTCAAAGACTCTTCATTTGTTTCGAGTAGCATTCCAAGATTGTCCGTCAATTTTAAATTAACATGACTGATGAAAAATTCACTCAATCGAAATCAATACCTTTTCATGTTGGGTAACATGTTGATTTCAAAGGGTCGAATTTTTGAACTTTTTTGGAATCCCCCACCTACCTTACAAGTACAAAAAAGCATGTGTGAAGCGTCTAATAAAAACGGAAGGAAAGGCCAATCTCATTTAGTGCAGAATTGGAAAGGTCATACTTCCGTATTATGAAACAGGACATTTTTCTTTCAGGTGTTACAACACACACCAAAAAAAGAAGTCGGCCTGAAAAAANAAAAAAGAACTTGAATTACCTCCAGAAGGAGTTTTGATTTTGACTGGTTCGCTTGGTAGATTGTCTCCTTCATCGAATTTGGCAGAAACCTAAAGGATGATCCTTTAGCTCGGGTTTTGAGTATAAATGAAATGATAACGATAGGTCTTCTCAGAAAGAATCAGGTTCGTTAACATAATTGTCAAAAACTCAAATGATCCGATAGTGTCGAAGATACTGAAAGATTGCCGAAAGCAATTATGCTCAGAGTAACTATTCATTTTGAACAGTCTATACTGATTCATGCTATAGAGCTCGGATTGTGAGCACGCAAGTTGCGATAAGTCGAGATATTGCCGAATTCATTACGATGGTTCAACAATATAATGAAACTATACCATAAAGCTATAGTCGGTGTTGGGAAGTAAGCCGCCGACTACTATCTGATCTGTCACATTTACAGGAGTTTCCAGATAAGTGACTGCTGATGGATCGTCATCTGGCCAATATTTGATAAGATACTTCTAAAATGATCGCAAATTACATTTCCAGCTAATTTGCGTTATCGGAATTGCCTTCCAACCGGCAATTTTTCAGTCACTCGTTTCACTCCTGCATTGACAAAGCGGCAAATTTATTTCTTCCTCCAACAGCCATGAATCAGTTTCTGCCGCAACAGGTTATGCATATGGCGAATTTTCTGGAGTTCCGGAATTTGTAAGATGTCAATTCAGAAGAATTTCGCTTAAAAAAGATTGGGCAGAAGGGCAATTGGTTCAACTTGTTTTTACTTCAAGTAATATTGTGCTCGATTCCCGAACTCCAGAAATTCCAAAGTGTCGCCCCTCAAAAAGCTTCCCTTCAATCTAGAAGTGATGTACTTTTTGTTCCAGGAGGGCTTAATTGTTCCTCAGACGACAGGAAATTTTGTCTGAAAAACAATTAAGCTCTCCTGTAATAAAAGGTAGATCGTTTTTGTACGAGTAGTGATGCAGCAAATTTCATTCGTATTCGTAATTTCTAGTTAGCTGATTCAGTCCCATGATAGATAGTTGAGCTGCATGATGTGCAATTCAACAAATTTATTTATCTCGCTGGAAACTAACGTGATTGTCTTGATCAGTTACTGACATCCTTCCATAATTTCATTAAAAAATTCTTGGGCATCTAAGAAAGCTGATTGATATACCTTGATGGGTTCGGCAGCAACAGCAGGTTTGAAGTCAAGAACCGTTTCACCATTCAGATTTGTACCAACGCGAATGTCACTAGCTGGCTCTGAAAGCGTGAAGAGGAATGTTGAAAGGTGCTGACTGTTCTCGACGAAACACTGAGCTTATTTGGGTTTTTAATTTCCTATCGTCTGAGAAACAATTAAGCTCAATAACTAGCAGAAAGTAACAAATAATAGCCGCATTGCTTCTGCGAAGCTGAGGGTAGTGTTAGAATGCAGAATAGACGCTAAAAGGATCAGAATATAGCAGAAAAAAACCGAAGGAGCATTTGAACTAATGTGATACTACGTTGATTTCTGTTAGAGTCGTGGAAAAACTTTAACGAAAAGGTATCAAATAGTTCGGACGGAAAGCAAAAGGAACTATCCGAAACGATGAATTTTATATTTTGCGTACGGGCTGAAACGCTGACTCATGAAAGCAAATCCGTGGTTGATCATAAGAGTGATCCAATAGAGAAATTGCGTGAGAATTCTAGACAGAAAAAAAGATAAAAGACTTACTCGGAGTCATCATTTCGAAAGTTGGTGTTCTGATGCCTTCTGAAGGTTGTTCAATTATGAGATAATATTTGGTCCCTGTTTCCATTTTTGGCTCTGTAATCCTGGCAAGTGGTCTCTTGTCACTTGATATCTGATCCCATTGATCCAACGGTAGAGAAGGATCGTCGGTCCAATAAATTATCCAGTCATTCTGAAGGAAATCAAGTTTACGAAATGATATCTGGCTCAAAGTTTCAATTTTTCGTTTGTTTGATCAATGGTTTACGAAAATCAACGTAGGTCGCTACTTGGAGAGAAAGCATAGATGATCTGCAAAAATGTATGTATCAAAAAGATTGATTTATGTTGAACGATACATCAACATGTGCGAAAAGTTATGAGCACTCCGGTTATTGATAATATCATTCCAGCCAGCGAAACGAACTGGAGTACAAAAAATAAATCAAGAGTAATAAAGGGCTTTCTAGAAATATTTCCTGTTCCGAAACTACAGCATGACCTTTTAGGAGAGTACGTTGTTTTAAAAAATTTTAAATTCTGTCCTAAAGAACCATCTCACACGACAAAACTGGTCCATTATGAATGTATTCAACGATTTCTTCTCACAACGCGCATTGCAAAAATCTCAGTTCTGAAGATCCGTTGCAGAGAGGAAAACGTACCGGTTCTTTCAAATAATCAGGTAGGTTATCGGTGAAGTGAAGAGCGATCTCACCATTCTCGTTCTTCGGTAGGATGAAATCGCTTTTCCATGAAGGACCCAAATCTTCAAATACGCAAAAAACTCCTCATATTCTCAATCAGGTTTAGAAGATGAAACAAAAATTCCGCTGATATCGAATAATTGCAACATTCAAGACTAAAAAATTTACGTGCAGGGCGAGCACTTTGGCAGCACTCAAGGTATCTGGATATGCACGCGGAACCATTTTTGAAAAGAAAAGGAAATCCACAGTGCCGAACTATAGAGGTAAATACCTAGGATTCAAACGTTTGAATGGGGGAAAACGTAACAGAACTTATCGCGCTGATCGAATAAGTAACGTTAATCGGAATAGGGTATCGCGGTGTATTGCATTTGAGTCAAGGCTTGCGCTGAGAATCATTTCGGCGAACAATCTATATTTGATAGATTGTATGAAACAGCCATCTATTTGCTTAATAGATATCTCAGCTCCGGTATGAGCCTAATCCCGATCCCAATCTCATTGCACCGCGATATCCTGCTCAAATTACCACCACTTTGATCAAATACTAGGCGCTGCTCACCAGGAAGCATTTGCACTTTGATGGTCCAATTTGCCAATCCAAGTGGACTCTGCGCTACGCAATTGAACGATGTGTCTTCAGTGATGTTTGACACCTTCAGTGTCCATCTGGCATGCTTTTCATCCGCCTCAACCTAAGAGAAATGATGTTTTGTGTTGACGAAACCTAAGAAAAATCAGATACGCTGATATCCACCAGCTAAAGACAATTACACCATTAATCAAACCAAAAACTTAAGAACTGAAATTTTTCTGTAACTCTGCAATATACAGAGACGTTATTTTCTTAGCGTCATCCTGTCCTGACGATGACATCTTCTATTACAACCCTAGATTTAATTGCTCCTTCTGGCAGTCAAATTTTATTTCAATGTCTCCGATCAAGTTCTTCTCAAAGAAACTGAGCCGATAATAGAAAAATTGTCAAAACTATTAATTACTTACCCAGCTTGGATCAATTGGTAGATTTCCTGAACGAATCCATTTGACTGACGGTTGAGGTTGCCCCGTAGCATTGCAAAAAACGTTCAAAGCTGAACCGGGTAACACATCGATGTGGCTGGTTCCTTCTACACCATGGTCTCCGTTCGAAACCATAATGTAGGGAGCATTTCCTGGAAGAACAATAATGATCGAATAAGCTAAGCTGAAAGGAATCCTTATTACAAAAACAGCTCGACGTTGCCATCCATTCTCACTGTCATTACACATACAATGTGAAGAGTAGGGAATTATTCGCCGATTGATAAAAACAGTTTCTCTATTACATTCTTTAATACTTCAAAACAAATTCTTTTTCATTGACTTTTTATGCGTCTTATGAGGATAAAGAGAGCATCAACAAAGGCTCAAGGATGACTGTTCGGATATCATAGACATAATGCGGTCAATATGTTGATCTAATAGCAATGAAGCTCACCATCTGGAAGGGTCTTTGTGATACATGCGTCTGAAAAGACGCCTGGTCCATCAGGGAAAATCGCTCGTATTTTGAAAACGTATTCAGTGTCCGGTTCAAGTACATTGTCCATAAAATATCGAAGTTTATCGTCGTCGGTTTCAGAAATCGGAACTTTGCTCCTGGAACAGAAAGTTTCATGCAGTTGAATACTTCGCTGTTTTGGTGACATTGACATGGAAAAGGAACCAAAAAGACTAACGAGAACAAATGATGAAATGAACAACAAACCAATCTCCAATGCTCGCCAAATCATCTTCCCATATTTTGACATCAGCTTTGATATAGAACAATTCATATCCAATAGGCTGTTGATCTGTGGTTTCTGGTTTTTTCCACGCGGCGTTAGCCGATCGTTGTCCTACTGGTTCTACACGCAGTTCTTGCGGTGGTCCTTCTCTTGCTGCAATTAAGCACATTCCTATTCGCTTTCAACGAACGCATTACCTGCATCAATGACGGCGCACTTATGTGCTTACTCGGCAGTGTTCTTATTGCAAAAAAAAATTTGCAATCATGTGTATTCAAAACATCTAAACAAGTGGACATTCAGATCACATACCGCGAGACATTGTTCGAATCGTATGCTGTTCTGAGTAAGGTCCAGGGCCATCCTGGTTGGCTGCCTGCAACACAACTGCATAGGCTGTATCCGGTTCCAGAAAATCCGTCAGATCAGTAGTTTGTTCGCCTTCATTCAGATTTTCACCTGTCTTATGATGCGTCATCCATTCGTTGATTGGTTTCTTCGGTATCTGACCAATTTGATAAACAATGTTCTGTAAAATGATTAAATCTCATTCCAATTTGTTTCAATAATGGCAACTATAGTTGCAATTAGTGGCAATCTGTCGACCGAACAATTTTTAGACACGGTTTTCGAGGTTTACAGTAAACTGTTACTGTTAATGATGTAAAAATAAGAGCCGGTAGATGGAGTCTGCATCAAATACCGCGAAAGTACCAGGAAATTTGTAACCTGATCATCAAGAGGAGTATAGTATATAATGTATCTCGTAATATTCCCATTCGGAATTGTTGGCGGATCCCATTCAACATGAATCATTCGGGGTCTATCAGACGAAAGCAGAATATTGCTGGGAGCTGTGCCTGGCCCTTAAAAGTCAAACATTTATGCAGCAGAATCGCATGAGATGAGCACTTATGTCAAGCTGAAATTCACGTTTTTTTCAGCCTTCTCCTCAAATTACACTCAAGCTCGAAGTCAGGCTAACTTTAAGCCTTACGCCTAAGCTTGCGACTAGGCTTCCAATTCGGGAAGTTTCCACAAGCGTATGAGCTGATACATCTACAAGGTCGCCAACATTTATTATCGTGAATTATAAGCTTGTTAAAATCCATCAATACCATCTACTTTTGATCGAATTGAAGCTTAAAATCAAACGGTATACATCGANAAAAGATTCACTAGAAGATGCATTTCATCGAAACGTTGCTCGGAGATGCTCAAAACTACAGCGCTTATCATTGATCGGGAACAACTGCTAACAACAAACCTGTAACAAACACTTCGAAATCTGTTTCCTCTCTGCCTCCACTGTTTTCTGCAACGCACTTTGCCTTGACGGTTTCTTTAACATCTTGCAATTTCAGCATGGGCCCATCGCTCAGTGGCTAAATTTCAAATAAACACATTCATATGAACTGTAGCAAATCCGCACAAATTAGATGAAATGTCTCCTCCGGACATAATTACTCTGCCTCTTATTACTGCCAATTGAGTACGCTTCACTCACTCCAAATGTTTACCCCAAACCTGAGTTCACTGCAAAAAGAAAGATTCTTGCCGCAATAAGTGCGCTTTTCTTCACTTTGAGGCATTCGGCTGACACAGTTGCACAACAACAATAATGAAATAAAGATTGGCAACCGACAACATCTTCATCACTTTTATACTCGCCGATCTTCCTTGCTTATTATGCAGTATAGTTGAAAAGGGGCACAAATGTGCAAGGATGGAAGATCTTTGGGGTTCACGAGGAAAATGTGATGTCTTAAGACTAATATTCACTTGAAAATATAGGCTGCTCGATTCGTTAAGACTAATATCAGCCGAACAACAAATCAGCTAAATTAAAAAGAATAATTACATTGCCGTTCTGATCGATCCAACTGATCACTGGTGTCGGAAATCCGTACGATGAACAGCTCACAGTATAATCGGTGCCTGCTGGTACGCGTAGAACATTGTCAGGAGCATCAACATTAATTATCGGCTTTTCGGGTGGAATGACTGCAAACAATTTCTATCAATAGCAATCAAAGGAAATCATGTATTTGCTGCACCAACGAGCTTGAAATTTCTTTGTCCTATTATTCCAAGTGCATTAATGACGGAATTTGCTTGCTGATTCACATGAACTTTGAGATGCGGACCAAACTAGACGTGGAAATTCATGAGTGCAGTTAAATACTCACTTCCATCACCAGTTTGGAAAAGAATTGGTTCTGAGGGAGGACTGTCAATCTCGCCTCTCGCAACGACCTGAAAACAACATATGCAGCTTGAACTGAGATACTTTGTTAATTCTAATACCAAAAACGATAGTGTTCTATTTGTAGCAAACACCTGTTGAGATCAAAAATGGATATTTTATTTTGAAGGGCATTGAAAATTGCATCGAAGACGTATTTTCAGTGATCTGCATTATGTTCAATTCTTACCTTTACAGCATATTTCGTATCTGGTTTGAAATTCTCACCATCAATCGGAATCATGACAGTAAAATCATCATCAGGTTCAGCCCATTGCAGTTCTTTCCATTCTGCATTCTCTGATTTCGGATCGTCCTCAGTGTAATGTAGAACGAAGTCCTGAAAGTAGATTTGCGGTAACAGATCACAGGATTTTTTTAATTTCATGAGACCTCACTAGTACTTCAAAAATTTCGGAGCGCTGAATAAAAGGCACACACGATATGTCGCAATTATGATGATCTTGTATGTGAACCTTGTCCGTCAGAAGTCGTGAAACGGGAGTGTGACTGTGAATTCAATATCGGAGAGAAAACTCGTCACTATTTTGAAAGTATTCCGCATATTGATTTTCTTATTCCATCAATATTTCTGTATGGAGGGATTCTGTTCCTTCACCTTCCATTGCTTTTTGATTCGAAATGACTGCTCCAAAGTAAAAATTGATAAAAATGATGCGCTGATTGCAAACTTTTATCGGTCTCGATGGGTCTTCGGGATCATGTGGTGCAGCGAATTTGACAGCTACGGTATTGTTATCATGCACATCCACTTTGGGAGGTTCGACAACAGGTGGTGCTGTAAAGAATGGTTCAATACAGTTTGGAGTGCATGAATGCACTGAGTATCATTACAGTTCAGTTTAGACAGCGACGAATGTAACTGACTTCATGAGGAATTTATTGCAATTGATGACTAGCAGCTATTGTTTGCATGTAAACGAAATCAGATACAAAAGTGGAAGTGTCATAAAAATAACTGTGGTTAGCTGAGCAAAGAATTATTTCAATTCAACACTCTTTGCCTATTACCCCAAATGTGCCCTAAATCTACCTAAATAAACCTAAATGAATCTATACCCTATATAACGTACCCTAAATAAAATCTGATCATCATCATAATAAAGAACATAAATGTTGCATTTGAAGCGACAAAATTTCAGTTAATGCATTAATGGATGAAAAAATTGCACCCTTTAGCACCTAATTTGACAATACCATGACTCACTGCACGTCTCCGGATTACGTAATCGATTGTGCATTTTAAAAAGAACATACCGAGCGGAAGCGTTTTCAACTTCACAGGATCTGACTCAACGCCAGGTCCACGATCGCTCACAGCCTGTACTTTCACCGCATAATTGGTTTTTGGTTTCAAGTTGGTGAGTCTGTGCTGCTGTATATCTTCACCCGGTACTTTAACGGTCTGCCATTGGCTTGGTTCCGTTTCACCTTAAAATTAGATATCACACTTCAATTGAATACAGGCAAACGTAATGCTCAATTCTCAGAAGAGTTTACATCAAACAATATCGATTCTTCGGAATCGTGTTCATATCTTTTCACTGTCAAATAAGTCCCGCAAAATATTATTGCACAAAAAATAACAGAAGTCATCTGACCAACCTTCGGGCACTTCTCCATAGTAAACAACGTATTCGGTGATTTTGCCATTTGGATTATCTGGAGTCGTCCATTCAACGTTCGCTTGCTGATTGTCCATCGGCAATGCCACAATTTCGTTAGGTGGAGTACCAGGACCTAAAAATGTATAAAATCAGGTCGAATCATGACCAACACACACAAAAACTAAAAAGCTGATTAACCGATTGAGAAGATCGACATATTGCTGTAAAATCCTGCTACGTAATAGACGAAAAAATACAACTTGAAAATTAAGTGGCTGTTGAAAGATTAAAATGGCAGCTTTTGGAATATAGAACTTGACCTTGCTGAATACGTTTTGGAAGTAATTGATGCGGATCTCTGAATTGGAATAATGTGAAAATGTGAACAACGCAAAAGGAAATACGAAACTATCTTAGTAGCGAACTAACCGGCGACTAGTATCTGAAGTACTTCTTGAACTCGTCCAGCGTTGTTTTCAGCTCGGCAGGTAGCTGTTTCGTCTTTACGTAAATCAGCTAGTTGTAGTATTGGTCCACGAACAACATCTTCATTTGCACCGATAATCCACATTACTGTTGGATGTGGTATGCCTGTTGCAGAGCATCTCACGGATATTGAACCTCGTGGAGGCACATTAGCTGGGTTGTTGGGTGGATCAAGTTCTATCACAGGAGGAGTCTCTGCAAAGCATAGAACTGTGATCTACCTGCTGGTGACAAAATCTCTCATTTCATCTGCAATCCTGCAGATCAGAACGAAAAAAATGCCAAGCAGCTTTCACGGCACATTCAAATGACAGCTGAGTACGAGTGTAGTAGGAAAAGAAATTAAACCTCCACTTCCTGTTTGGAAGATTACTGGTTCACTGGCTGGACCTTCTGAAAGATCATTAGTGGCCGCAACGCGTACTTTGTACTGCCGATGAGGGAGGATGTTATAAGTTTCCTTATCGATTCGAGCATTGCCCGAAACGTTATTTGTTGGTATGACAAGTTTGTCCCATTGCTTATAGCCATCGTCGGTTGTATACGGATCAATCGGTGTGTAATAGACTGTGTACGACTGGAATAAAATTACATGGAGTCTTGATATCAAGTCTACATAATTTCATGACAACAAATTAACGAAACTGAATAACAGAAAAAGTTCCTTTTTTGTTTCTTTAAATTATCTTGCTCACTTCAGTTCGGTCATTGCGTTATGGGAGATCAGACCATCAAGAGATGTTTTACAGAAAAGTTGCGGCTGTTGAATTACTCGTGAACGTGATAATGGACTCGAGTAATGAAAATTGCTGGATCGTTCAGAGTATTTACTAAAAGATACGCTCACCTCTATTGGTCCATTAGGAACACTTGGTCCTCTCCACGAGACATCAATTGAGTTGTCTTTTCCAACAACAGGAAATACTTCCGAAGGAGCATCAATGGGTGCTGAAATTCGATGATTGTGGATTAGTTGCTATTAGAACGTTCGAAGCACCACCTCTGAACGTGACTCAAACAAACTACCACTGTGATGAATTTTACATGAGGAAATCATGAATAATCCCTGAAGAATGAAAAATATGCATGTATAGACCGAATTAAAACATTAATTCTTGTTAAACTGTCATGCATATCTGTATAACCTAGCGGTCGTTAGGTTATATAGATATTCATGAAGATCTGCATGACATTCAAAACGGTCGTTACCTCCACTGACAGTATCAAATGGAATGCTTTCTGATGGAACTCCTTCTCCTTCTGGGCCCATTGCAGCCACCTTGACATAATACGGCGTATCTGGTTCAAGTTCACCTCGAGCAAATTCAATTTTATTTGCATCCGGATCTTTGACATCAAAAACTTGCCATTGTTCGATTGGTTTACTCGGATCAGCGGTTAGGTAAACCTTATAGCCCTTAAATGTGCGCAATGAATGATGCAGCAATGGAACAAATAGTGAAAGCCAAATAGCAAAGGGCAACTTTTGAATGAGATATTCGGCAACCCAGGAAATTGCTGAAAAAGATCTTCACTATGAGTAAATCCCTGCGCTGAAAGTGCTCTGATGACGCAAACCAATGGAATAAAGCGTGAGTTTTTTGAGTTAAGCCATCACGGATCCGTTCGCTTCATTGCCCTTGTTTGAACGAGTCTTGGTATAAAAAGGCATGGTGAACTTTCCAAACTATCCAGTAAATTTTTATCAATAAAAAATGGAAGACACTTACATCAACCGGTCCATTGGGATGTTTCGGCTCATCCCAATTTATAGTCACATGATTGTCGGGATCGACAATCGTATTGATGTTATCTGGTGGACTTCCAGGTTCTATAAAAAGATTAAAGTTGACAGGAGAATGCACTGTGCAAATGGAAGGATGGAAGACTTTTTCAGAAAACGCAATCATAAAACAAAAAGAACAGTTGACAAGTATCGTTGCCCATCAAGAATGAACAACCATTGATTTTTCGAGAGCTTCAGCTCCTTTTCCAATCGGAAAAATTAACCGAATATTTATGGCTTTTTAGAAAGTAATAGAAACGTTGTCGGACTGATGTGAGATCTCATTTCGGAATATTTCACGGTAATGAAATGTACAATATACTCAATAAAAATCAGATGAGGCGAGAGCAATTCCGTATGACAATTCTGGATCGATTGAGTGAATCAATTCAGAAAAACACTAACTGATGACATTGAAAATATGGCGATCGTCAACGGATCCGTCAGGATTGCGAGCCTTACACATGAGGGCTCGTTTTGTTGCGGTATTTGATTGAAATTCAATTGTCTGATAACGATGGGGTTTTGAACGATCCGAATATGCTGGGATTGGGAATGGTTCCTGGAAATATCTTTTCATCGTTGAAAAAGATTGTTACGATCAAATAGGTCAAAAGGAATACCTGGCAGGCTTAATGAAAACCTCGCATTCTTTGAACCTACTCAAATCATTATCAGCGACGGTTGATTAAACACTAAATAATGCATCGTTCATGTGGAATCAGAAAATATTTGAAGAATTCTCAGAAGTACGGTGCCGTTTGATAATCCAAAAGTATATCTTATAAGAACTGGCTTCAGACTATACCTGTCCGCTCTCCGTTTCATTGAACGGAAGCCAAGTGTAGAAAATCTGCGGAGTGGGTCGTCCTTCAGCGATACATTTGAATCGAATGGTTTGCAGAGGTTCCACTATTGTTTCTTCATCCGTTTCGCTTATTTGAGGGTCAATGATGAGCAGTTGCACAGTTAATGGAATTGCTTAATATGATAGAGGTCAATGAAGCGTGTTATGCGAATGAAATCGCATTCCATCAGTCGTTTATATTCGTGATAATTGACATCGCGAGATGTCAAAAGATTTGATGTCATAGACTGCAGATTTTTGTTGGATGTACAACTAGCGAAATATGTCATGCAATGATATGAGTCTATCGCCTCGTATTCGCACCACAGTACTCGCAAAATATGCTGCTAATTGCCGTGAATAACTGTTAAAAAACATAGATTATTTGAACATACGTTTCTTTCCAGTTGTGACATCGTACGCCTCTGAAATAATCCCAACTCCATCTTTAGTTGCCGCTTGCACACGTACATTGTACGGTGTATCTTCGTCGTCTACCATAATGATAACATCCCTCTTATCACCATCAACGCTCACTCGTTGCCAGTCACCCAAATCGTGATCCGGATTCTTGGTATAGTAGACAATGTAATTCTGAAACAAGTGGTGTTGAGTGGTTCCGGTGAAAAAACATAAATGGAAAGCACGAAATCTGGGTACCTGAGAAGCAGTCATTATGATCGCGTGATGAGGAAGAAAGAATGAGAGAGGAAAATAGCTTGAGATTTTAGATATAAATAGCAAGATTCAGTCAACGGAAAAATGAATAATCCTGCGTAAACCAATGCTTTGCAATGGTCGAAGTTCAAAATCACGGTTCAACAACTAAATGTATGAATGTGCACACTCACCGTGATTTTACCATTCGGATATTTCGGCGGTTTCCAAGAGACGGTGAAGCCGTTCTGCTTTGTTGCTGTTTTAATGTCACGTGGCGGACTTCCTGGACCGAGAATTTTAACTTCAGTTCGCTTCTCATCAGATCCTGAAATCCCATGCAAATCGTTGCGACCAACAGATTCCTATTGAATGTGCGCAGAAAACGAGATATTAGCAGCCTAAATTCTGCTTTTTCAATGACATCTACTGGAAGAATCTTATGAAGATTATCACACGCAATGTTCGAAATCATCACCACTGGCAGAATGAAATTGCTCAATAGAGGAATGATAACAGACCAGCGGACTTTTAGAACTAAGCAGTGCAGTTCAGCGTGCAGAATAATGAAACAATTATTCACAGAAAATGAGTAAAATCAAGAAATACCATGAGGATTAACAGCTTGACAAGTTGCAACTCCTGCACGATTTGTTTTTTCAGCAATCAATTTGCTGTTGGAGCGATCCTGGGCATCCAAAGGAGTGATGTCATAAATCCTGAATTCGTCCTGAAACATTTCTAGATCATTTTTGCCCTTTCCATAGCAATAAAGACATTCATCTGGCAGCTGTGCGTTTGACTCAGACGAGAATTTTCGTTCACCGCTACGAACACAACACTGGCGAATTAAAGCAGTCATGACTTTCCGAGTTGCGTTCAGGAAAACTGCATCACTGAAATGTTCCGACATTTTGATTACATACCTTCCCGTCCTCAATTAGGTGGCCACTCCACAACCATAGAATTCTGGGTTTCGGCACACCGGTCGCATCACATTCGAATATCAATTCTTCGTTGCTTGGATCCTTCACTATCGAATCCGATGGGCGTAATAAGACGCTTGGAGGACGTGCTGCAAAATTTAAATCCAGAAAAGTCATTTGGGGCGAGGAAGAGTTTTCGGAGAAGGAGTTATCAATCAAATGGAAACAACGCATTACTGACAACGCCCACCTCCTAGCCATGTGGTCAGTGTGAACTTTCCACTGGGTAGACCGGGTCCTAATTCATTGACACCTCGAATTTTAAAAGTGTAATCTGTTTTTTCTCTTAAATTCGGGATTTTCATTGAATGAATATCTGGGCTGCCAACTCGTACAATCTGCCATTCATCTTCTGGTCGATTAGGGTCGTCAGTGTAAAGTATCTAGAAATAAGCGGTTATGAAAAAATACAAAGCGAAACATTTTAAACTGAACTCCTTTCGTCAAAAGGATGACGCTATTTAGCGATTTTTCCATGCAATTCGCTGCTTACGATTTGGGAACAAGGACGGATTCAGTCATTTAAATAGCAAGTTCCATCAAATTTCAGACATTTTAGCCTAACTGCTAGAATGAATACTAATATTGGCCTATGATACCTACATATTGGGTTGGAGCATAAGTTCGTGCGCTTTATCTAAGTTTTCTAAAACTTCGTTTTCAATCCACAAAGGCTAACCACTCAACCGACAATGTATTCTCCTCCAGTTTTCACGACTTCCTGCCATCGTTTCAACAGGTAGTCGATTCCACGACGACAGAATTCCGCTGGCTTCGAGGCGAAGAAGTCCTCTAGCCACGTTTTGAGGGCATCCTCGTTGTCGATGGCTACACCGCTGAGGCTTTCCGAAGAGAAGCGGAAGATGTGGTAGTCAGATGAAGCGAGGCCTGGCGAATACGGTGGATGAACCAAAATTTCCCATCTGAACTCTTCGATCGTTTTTCTGATCAGTTTTGCGTGTGGGGGCGCGCGTTGTCATGCTGCAGGATGACCTTGTTCACGATATCGGGCCGTTTGTCCTGAATAGCCCGGTTGAGCCGGTTCAGTTGCTCGCTGTGCAGTGCTGCATTGGCCGCTCCCTCGTTTTGAAGTAGTCTGACGCGGATTCTGACGGATGAGAACATTCAGACGCCTCTCGTCGAGATCCAACGTCTGACCTGAACGTCGCCCGCCCTCCACGTCGTAGTCGCCCTTCGCGAACCTCGCAAACCACTTCTGCGCTGTTCTTAGCAACACTGCATCATCTCCGTATACGGCGCAAATTTCACAAGCAACTGTTGAGCCCTGATTGAATGCACAAAGTAGCACTTGTCGAAAATGCGTTTTTTGGTCCACCTGACACTTCATTTCATAACGCTGAAGATCCGGACAAAACAGAACTGCAGTAGACCGTCTAACACAGTTGCGAAGAGCAGAGAACCTGCTATCGATTGGTGTGTGACACTCCTCCGGAAAAGTGGACTTTCGCCGGAATAATTCAATTTCAATAAAAGCGCACGAACTTATGCACCAACCCAATATATCCGGATGATCCATTAGCATCGGATGATCTACTCTTTTGTTCTGTCGTCAAAAATTAAAATTGAATAATTAAATTGATTAAATTATTCCGGTGACAAAGCCTACTGAACACAATGAATGACACTGAAAATTTTCGTGTTGAAACTGAGTTTGCAACCAGACCTCATAATCCTTCATAGGTCCGTTTGTTATTCGCGGTTGTTCCCATTGCAAATCGACATTATTACCGTCAATTTGATAGCGGATTCTTTCTGGAGCCGTTGGTCCTAAAGAAAACACGTTTATAGCGCTGACTGCTGCATTTGTGATGACATTTCTGCTGACAATAAGCTGGTTTGATAAACAGCACAGTAGTGGAAGAATTGGGAACTCAAATCCATACCCTCCTTAGTGGGACAGGCTTTAAAAGCACGTAAAACAGTATTGACCAACGGTTTGGTAGGTGCATTAGATTTCAACGTAGCATGCACTAACCTGTTACAACCACTTGCACTCTCCTCATCGACTTTCCAGCTTCATTTTCAGCGACACATGAGAAATTTGTACTCTCATAAAGGCCACCATGTTCCATAGTAATGAATCGCTTTTTTTGTGGCGAGTTTATCGGTCTTCCTCTGCAAAAATTTGAATCACAATCAGATAATACTGATAGTTTCATAAGTTGTAACTTCAAATCGTTGTTTCGCTTCTACTGCAATTCGTGTCAATCAAAAGAATGCTTACATGCAAAATCTAATAAGAGCCAAAGGTCAAACACGCTCACCTACTGTGCCAAGCGACCCTCGGAACAGGATCACCTCTTGTGACGTTGCAACTCACTCTAAATGGAGTCAACGGAGGCACTTTGACTAACTGTCCTTCCGGAATGAATATTTGTGGACGAGCAGCTGAAAGAAGAATATGAGTAGATAGATAATGATATAATAAATAGGCGGATAAAGAGGTAGTGACAAAGAATAATAACTGTCCACAATTCTGATTCATTAGTTTCAACTCTGTTTTGAGAATTCCACTTGAAACGTACCCGGCCGTCTTGTCATAAGCGAAACCGGATTGCCGAGCCTGCCAGGTCCTAATTTGTCATTGGCACGCAATCGGAGGAAGTACTGTGTATGAGGACGAAGATCCTTGATTGTGACTTCACGTGTTGGTTCTAGAAAAAACAGAAACCGAAATAAAATTCGCGACATTTCCGGAATGATACAAGGCCTACTGACTTTAATTAACTACAAAAGAAACCAGCAACAATGGCAATGAAAACTTCAACTAAATACATTTCGAATACATAAACTAAGCGCACTGCATTTTCATGATCTTATCATTTATAATTCCACTCACTCACCATCAACACTAAGTGTTCTCCAATTCTTAATTGGTTGGTGACCATTATTGGTGTAATATATTGTATAGGAAGTAACTGGACGATTGACAATAACTGGTGGATCCCAATTCACATGAACCGATGTACGGCCAGCATCAATTCCTCTCAATACTGGCGCTGATCCGGGTCCTGAACACTTTAATGGTCAATGCCTCTAATAAGGTTAACAAAACAACATTGCTGAGGAACTTTTGAACTGGGTAATATGCTCTTGACAGGAACGATAATGAAATGTACATTCAATCCAAGTAGTTTTCGAAACGTAACTGAACTGCGAACTTCTCCCAAGCTAGAGTTAGTGCTTAGACTGGAAAAAGTGATCGAGTAAACGAATCGTTAGTTTTTGCAAGAAATACCCTGGAGAGCACTGATGGCTTATGAAAGTACTTCGTATGACTGGATCGAAAGAAGAATCACTGACGAAACACTCACCAACAACAACAACCTCAACGGTTCTTTCGGCTTGCCCGAGTGAGTTATTAGCGTGACATGTGAATGTGGTACTCCTGTAGAGTTCTTTGATGATAAGAATTTGCTCGCTGCGAACGGTACCTGGCTTGATCGGTGTTTTGACAACTGCTTCATCACCTCTATAATCATCATTCAATAGGCTTCGAAAACGACGGAGCGACCAAAATCCACTTGACAACACTGGATATATTTTTTGAACTGCTCTCCAAAAATCCAATCCAGTAATCTTATCTGATATTGAGCCATTATCCATTTAAAACTACACACAAATTACCTCTGCCAAAATATCTGTGGAAATGGGTGTGCGACAGCGGAGCAAGTAATATTCAGGTTACCACCAGGTGAAATCTCATATGGCGCTGGAGGATCGACATAAATTTTCGGTGGTCCATGAAGCACTGTAAAAAGAAATATTGACAAGAGCGCTTGCATGATTTAGAGTCGTTGAATAACTCAGGAAATGCGATCTTTGTCTCGTTGCAGTTGGGCGAGAAGATAGAATAGTCTGCACCGAACGCAATCTAACATATTTAAAGTACCAGAGGTGTACTTCTGAGAAATACTGACAACATGCTAAGAATTTGTTAAGAATTTATCATGCTGAGAATTTCTTCTGATGTATGCGCATCGATGAGAACATCGAATCATTATCATCGCTTGTTCTTTTTAAGTTTAAAAATACATACGCAAGCATTTTTCGCCCTTCGGGCACGTGCAAGCATATTGGCTGTCGTCGATTCTGGTGCATGTGCAGCTACTGAGGTTTCGACATAATTTCTTCGGAACCGGTCCTGAAAGACGTCCTTGCTGAGTTGAGGAAAATGAACACAAATAGACAGTATATCATTAGCAGTCAATTATTCAAGGAGTTTGTTCCGGTTAGCCAATACGAAGTGCTTGGATGGATCAAATAAATTCGAAAGCTGCTGTGCTCTCTCCTAAGAAGAAATTCCTTTCTCAAATATTGAAGTGTTGTGCAATAATAGAAAATGTTCGCTAAAACGATGCACGAAAGAGATTTCGGACGTTGGTACGATTTCAAAGACAGTTTGCTAAAAAAAATCTCACAATTGGCAAATAATCTGTTGGCAAATAATTTGTTTCAGTTGAGTGGTATAAAAGATACTGACTGAGACAAGGAAAGAACCCATCAGTATGATACTTTTCACCTCGCTGTGGGTGATAGAGGAACAACATTTCTCTAGCCTTTTGACAATGTGTTTTTGATTATCTTACGTATGCAGGTTTTTTGGTCCGCGTCCAACACCATGCCTTTAGGACATTTACATTCAACAGCTTGATCTTGAATTGACAAACACGAGTGACTGCAACCACCATTATCAGCCTCACAAAGTCCTGTAATTGGAAACTTGATGTCGGTTTGCATGACCTATTAGAGATGCAAACGTATGGTTATATAGCATGAACAAACTGCTCGCCTTGATCAAAGAAAACTTCACGACTTCAGTCTTAGTCTTAAGTACCTTAGTGCTATAGCGCAAATGTTGATTCGGGAAGAATGGCAGACGTATGTAGTATGTATACTATCTCAGTTTCACTCGAATCGTGATAGTAGCAATTGCATTGAAAACGCAAGCGATAACAGAGGGAAACTGTAACCAGACGATGCAATAGGACGGCTATTTGTAAGTGTCGTTAGTAAGACTGTTCTTCAGCCAAGAAATAAGTTTTCACCTTTTCCTCGACATTTCGGCGGCGTCATAACCCACTGTCGATTGTCGCAGAACATAGTATCAACTTCATCCACTAATTCGTATCCATACTCGCATTGATATCGAACAAAAAGGAACGAATGAGGACTGAATGTAGTATTCCTTGGAATTGGTCTACCTTGCTGCCTGTAGTAGTGCCGGATCAATCGTCGAAGATTATCCGGCGGCACGAATGCCATGGATCGAACTCTGAAATATTACACGAAGATACTGCAGGTGTTTCCGTGCGATTCTCTTTGACATTCATGAACACCTCGATGAGGCTGATGCATTGAGCTTCAATACATCCAACAAAAAGATGTCTTGATCTATAGGCGTTATTGACTCGCTCGCAAATGCTGCTGCTGATATAAATGTTTAACAGTTCGATAAACAGATTGCAATGTAGACGTGCTCCGATTCTGGCTACCTAAGTGTTTAGCAGATGAAATCAATGATACATACGTCGCATGTTTGATAGCCGGCGGTGCAACCATACCGTAGCCAACATCCGTGCAAGTTGTATCCAAATCCTCATAGCGTGGATAACAGATTTCACGTCCGCTTCTCAGCGAATACCGGCACTTTCCAGCTTGTGGCGGTGGAAACGGCGGTTGATTCACTAAACAGAACGATATGTTGCGTTAGATGAAGAAAACGAGCAGTCATCATTTCGAATACCGATAGCGCTATTTGTTAAAAGCTGCGTTTAGCGCGCATGATGCTCATGCCAAAATAAGTGCATTCCAAAATCACCAAGTCATATTACATTGGTGAGTGTATGCCCTACGTCTAATTATAACTCTGACGAACATGCTAATTGCTGAACATTTGAAACTCCTCAAAAGAAAATTTATTTTGTTTTTCTCCATCTTCATTCACAGCCTCTGATTCATTGCTCCTGAAAAACCTATTACAACATGGGCGGTTGAGAGGATCTCGATAGATCGATAGAAATAGACAAAATACGGAAATTCCGCTGAGAATTTTGTTACGTTTTTTACATCTAAGCAACGATGCTCTCGGCTAACTAACACAGGCGTCGATCGTTCTCTAGCGTCCAATATAAACAGAACCATCGGTATTCGAAATCATGCTCAAGCATTCGACTGATTCATGTGTGTGAACTGTCAGTGTGCTCGGAATAGCAATGATGACTAAAATTGTTCGGTACTTTGTGAATTTTTAAAGTGATTGTCGAATGTTCAAGCAAAGTGCGATCAACACTGCAACTCTACATGCTATTAGGATTAGTTCCACTGAAATCCAGTTAAACGAATAATCAGTTCCAGTTCGTTTCTCGTCTGTTAGTCCGTTCAAGAGTTTCATGCAAAATTTTCGTGCCTTGCTGGAATAAACAACCAACGGGCATGCAAATAGAACAAAAGCATATCAAGAAACCAAATACGGCTGCGTATAACTGAACATGATAAAGCTGAGAGGTTCTATGAGATGAGACACTGATTTCAAGGCGATAAACATACACATATAATGATAGGGTAAATAGCATACAGCAGTTCGAGAGACAAAGTTTAAAGTCAACGTTTCGCGTGACAATTCTCCTCTTTGACTTTACCTTCCAGCTTTGCCCATCTATAACAATGAACGTTGAAAACAATGGAAGTGAACGGTCACCATGATTCGAACTCTTGAATTTAGAAGCCTATCATAGTTGCATCGTCAAAAATTGAGCCTATAATATCAAAGAGCTTTTGAGGCACCATGATGCACCCAGTCTCAGTAATCTATGTACAGCTCGTTCTTTATGTCAACTGTACTCTTTCTCCACGCGAAACGCTTTTCCATGCGCATTTTATGTTACTGAATCGTACATAAATCATTATTTCATTTCCTCGCATGCAAGTAGTTGCAATCGGATTTTCGCAATCTTCTTTTGCTGTTGTATAATGCATGCCATATGGTCAATATGACGAGTTCTGCACACAAATATAATAGGGACAAGCGTAGCAGTATATGTGGTTGGTCAATCTCGAGACTCACTGATATGCTCGAATGTTGCACACTGAGATATCTCTAGCAGAACTGGTATACTGTTATTGACAACACAAAGTTAACTACAGAGGAATTACAAGACGAATAATCACAATTAGTAGGATAGCAACAACACAACATTCATAATCATCAATGTAATCGAATATGCTCAAACACAGTTTCATAGAGCATTTGCATCAGGGAAGATTCCCGAAAACAGATGCTGTTTAGGGCAGCGACAATGAGAATTTGTTCTGCGGAAAGATCAACATTCAGAAATAACTACGACTGCATTCATAGAACATGGATAAACGATTCTCGGAAAAATGAACTCGGAAAACAATGAACTATTCGTTAGTTGCCCATTAATGATCGATGAGTTTTATCTTGTCAGTGACTACTCATTTTATTGGAACTGAACATTGGAACTATTCACTAAAATCATCCCAACCGGTGCTTGAGCAAATGTGTTTAGAGAACGGATGAGAAAAACCCGTTGGTTGTTAGTCAAAAGCTATCATAAACATCAGGATGTTTTGATGAGAAGCAGAACTGCACCTCAACAACATCAAACGTTGAACTGATCATTTGAAAGTTTAACTCTTCTTCATGCCTATTAAGTTCTGGTATTAGTTGGAACAACTGGTTGACACTGAACGAATTAATTTTGTTATAACTGTTATCACTATCACCACCATTATCATGTCTTATTATTGATATTAGCATTGTTGCTCTATTGCACACCACAACATTGATAACGCATTGCCTCGTTTAATATTTTATTGGAACACTGTTATTTGGGTCAGATAAGCACATCTGACTATGGTGTCGTGTTTTAGCTACTTCGTAAAACTAGTACTGACCGCTCAAATTGCACGAAAGTTGATTTTGAGCTGTTGGTGAGATAGTGAGATTGTAGCCTGCAGATGAGAAAAAGCATCGATTAGGAAACTCGGGCTCTATTGATTACAATAGTCCAACATCTAGTAATACGGAGGCACTCTATCCAAAACTCATACCCTATCTACTATCCTGAATTGCTTGATTCTCAACTGTCCAGAGAATTTGCAGATTTTAGCGTTATGCTATGTTGGAAAGTTATTCCTATTTCAAGCATTCTTCGTCAGTGTTATTGAGTTGTTGGAGAGTGTTAGCATTCACGAGTTGAGCATGTCTTTCGTGCTTTTTTACAGTCAGTTCGGGATGTTATGCGGTAATTTGGGAAGAGGCAATACGCCGGTCGAGGTGCACAAACCTTCAATTTCTCCGCAATAGTGACTAGCACGGTCGGCGCTAAGCACACATCTGCCGGTGCCGTTGAATGGCAGAACGACGGCCGGGAGGTCCTTGAAATCTGAAGGATTTGAATAATCTGAATCGTTTCAATATCATCAATACAGCTGGCTGTGTTCAGTATTCATTTTTTACAGAAACAAGGAGTTATCAGGTTAGACAAATAAGGAAATTTTGAGGAGAACTGTAGAAAGATGCATTCTGTCTAACGAGTGTATGACCAGCATAAAACAAACACTTTTAAATGATAGACTCCTGGATGTGCGATTTACAAAATGAAAAGAGCAACGATGTAGACAATAATGAATGACAAAAGTAAAGCATCGAGATGATTTGGCAGAAGAGTCATGAATGATAAACGATCTCAATGTATTCATCTGTGCTTAGGATTATTTTATTAGCATGTTTATGAAGAAATAATTAATTATGGATTGCTGACTAATGCTTGAAAATGAAGCTGATAACGATGTCAGGAAAGGGAAGAAGGAAAAATGAAGTCAATCCTGACAAACTGGAAACTAAGCACGAAATCCGTAGTCAATAGCTAGTGAACGGTTGTAAGCATAGCATGCCTCTTGCTAAGCAGCTCTGCAACGAATACACTCGAGCGATTGACCTCTGACCCTGTGGCATTTTCGATCATATCGATATTATTGAAAGTAACAATACAACATTATCCAGAGTGATTCGACATAAGCGAATGTGCTCANTCAGACAAAAATTGAACTGCGATTGTTCATTCTGTTAATTGAGCTGTTCCGTTAGTTGCCTCTCATTGTAAGTGTTGTTATTCTGATCTGGGTACGATCAGTTCAAAGATTTCGTCATGAAAAAGGATAAAATGCTTGACATCAATCATGCCAATGCCAGTTCGAAAGTAGCTTCTATGTAATTTTCGTAAATTCTGATGTTCATTGAAGAACTTTTCACGGTCAATAATTGTAAGAAGCGATTCCGTGGTTAACCAGACTTTGACAGCGTTTCAGTGTACGATGAAGCACTTATGAGAAAGTGTTGCATTGTGTGAATTGAACACTGGTAAGCCATTTCATTTTCCATCTTATTCCTCTGGAAAGAGAAAATTCAGAGCAGACGCAGAAAGCAGTGGCTCATCGACTTTATTTCAGTTAATCTCTTTACGAGGATCAACTGGAGTCACTCGTTGTGATTCAAAGGGAAATGCAGTCAAACATGAATTTTAACGAAATATAAGTCAGTTTTCTGCAGTCAACTCTGTCATCGAATGTTGTTGAAGAAATCTTGTGGTTGAAATCATGCGCGATGAGAAGAACGCGGTGTGTTCATGCCAAAAAACAAATGGCCAGTGAAAAGGATTGAAGCAACTGCAAGTTCGTTCGACGGAAGTTCAGTTCGATGCTTTTGAATGAACAGACTCGAAATCGATGATCAGTTGACATATACCTGGTAGCACTCCTTCTGATGATCTGTTTACTGGACAACATTCTTTGATGATTCCTGCAGGAAAAAAGCAATAGTACTTCGTACGATACACAGGTGTCTCCGATGGTGCGGAACTAATCATCGAAACTGATAGTTATATACATGACGCTTTGAATGCCATTTAACGAACGGAACTATTAGAATAAGAACAAAATTTGAATTTATCAAGATACGCTGGCAATAACAAAACGGATCGACCAGTTTTTCATATTAGAGTAGAACGTGTTCCACAGAAGATATGAGAAGATGGCAGCAATTGGATTAGACAAAAAATCACTATATGCAAGCCCATATCGCACAAAATCGTGATGGTCACGCGAAGTTCTATTTCACCATAACCTCGCGCTTCACTTTCACAAGTTGATCTCATATATTTCGAATTTTTGGCAATAACAGAAAAGGCGCTCATTTGTTCAATGCGTTATAGTACTTGGAAACACTTCGTAACACAATGTAGTTCTGTCATTTATTATGGTATCGGCGTTATGATTAGGGTTTGCACGGATCCTGAGATGCCGGGATCACAGTTCCGATCCCGATCCCGGGATTTAAGTTTTCAAAAATCCCGGGATTTCGGGATTCAATAAAACAGGTCAATTTGTGTGAATTTTGTATGCCCATCTTGAAGCAAGCCTTAATCATTCCCATCTAATTTATATGCAGTTATCTTTGCTGTTTGCCCCTATCATTGATGTTCGGCTAAGGAAATAAACGCAATTCGGACGATTGACATGATCAACGACAGCTGATGAACTTTTACGTAACATTTCATTGAATATTGAACTGATTATTCTGCTCTTCATTGGTTTATATCACCCTCATTTGGATGCATTTAAATGTAATAGACTCACAGAGATAATCACATTTTCTAATAAAAACCAAGAGCAACAAAGTTCAATGAAATTTTGAGTCGTTTCCTCCCACGCGATTTGTTCGGCTTCAATATCCCATCTGTTAATTAAAACTGCATGTTCCAAACACTGCAAGTCTTTTTACTTAGCTATTTAGAAATGCTTTCATCCGATCGAAATGTACATAAGTTCTCACTGAGTTCACTCATAATGAGAGTTCATTACCGAAGTGAGCAAAGTTGTTCCAAGCTTGAATATCAAGTACATTTCCATGATTTTTGATTGAAATTATCAAATATGTAAATGCTCGATGGTTCGGTGAAAATCCATTGCGGATATTTTTTTACCTTTTTAGATAAACTTCGAACTTTTACTTATTTCGAAATTCAAATTATATAATTCATGCGGTGCATTTCTTCCGTAAAAAATCGGAATTTCCGAAACAGCAGAATTCAGTTGCCGTTAATACTGAGAGAAAATGTACTTGAAGCATTGCAAATAAGTGTTTGAGAATCAAGAATTTCATATTCACATGCAAGTGTACTGTTATTAGCTTAGACCCGAGATGACAAGATGCCTTAGCATAGAATATGCAGTATGCCTTTGCGGCATGATCATTGTCATCATTATATGAAATATGAATTTGAATACTTAGTTCCTTGGATTTGTTCAATAATTTCTTGATTTAGCTCCTTTCTGATTGCTAATGAACATATTGGTTCGAAAAAATGTGTTTAAACATGACCCGCATCGATATTTCAATAATTGTTCGATCTCGGGATTATCCCGGGATCAAAAATCGATCCCGCGATTGAAAAATCGTCGGGATTTTGCAAACCCTAGTTATGATTACAGTTATTATGGTTCAATTTCAGGTGTAATAAGCAGATTTGGTCATCATGGTCCAATTTTAGTCATGATGTACTCGACTCATTAGTCTTCCGTTAGGATCTGAGCAAAAATGGAACAATGCATTAATGGATTAGGAACAGAGTCACATCTTCAACTGTATTTGCCAAGATGAAACGAAAGCAATTTGAAGTTTGCAAGAACATTGTAAATACTACAGATTGGAAGGTGTCGCTACAGCTAAAAAACGAAATTTCTGAACGTTAATGACCAGTTAAAGACAAAAGCGTGATGAATTGTTCTTTTCGCTTTTAATAGACATGTACTGCTTGGCTGTACTATTCATGGCATTATCGCATTCAGGAAATATTTTTCACAGTATAAGGCATGGAACAATATCTGAATGCCAAAACAGAACGGAAAGTTTTGGTTGACAAAATACCTTTCTTTGCTGCAACAGCAATGATATGCACCAAGATAAAACCCTGATCCGATAACAAAAAATTAAGTTAGTGAAGTGCGAGTGAGAAGAAAAGATAGAACGGTATTATGGTGGTCGATTGGCAGCCCAACGGCATATTAGGGAGGAGTTATATGCAAAGAAAACGTGGTTTCGTTGCTTCCAAAATGTCGGATGGTTATCTGGCTACCCATAATCATCCAAAATTGATGGTGGTGCAATCAAGACGAAAAGAAATGGTAAGCAGTGATAAAATGGTGGTTATTGCGATTGATTAAATGCTGATAAAATTGGTTCATGAAGCGATCACCAGCGTGAAAACAAATCAAACAACGCTACTTAACACAATCAGTTCCAATTTCTCATCAATGTAACGGATAATTACGATTAGCTCCATACTTATTGTAAAGAGTCTCGTTACAGCGTAGTACACGGTTTTATCAATCCCCTCTCTCCCTATTTCATTTGGGTTCGATTTGGACAATGCGGATACATGTTCAACAAATATCACGCATATTATGCGTTTATTTTACTATTCGATGTTATTACACTATTTTTTTAGATCTAATTATTCATTCATGACATAAACTGACACTTCCAAATAATTTCTCAACTTGATATCATTCCAAATAATGAAGCCCAGCATTCGGCAATCATTTTCTTTGGGCTGCAAGTATCGTATGGTGATTACCAAACGAACGGAACTAAGTGGACGTTCAAGGGATCATAATATTGTAAGGCTTTTGCTAAGCGCAAACAAAATGGTGAATCTGCGTTCACATAATTCGAATCCAACAAAAACTATGGTGAGAAAACAATCGCTCACTATGCTGTAATGAGACTACTTGCCAGGGGACTGATTAACGTTGATCCCTCATCAACGCGTTACAATTTTTATCGGTATTCATATTGCTTGAGAGAAAACACAGTTGTCAGAGGGATCAGATTTTGGATGTTCTGAAAAATATCTTCAGAGAACTGAAACTGCCTATTCGCGAACACCGTAGTCTGGTTCTAAAATTTACCAGTTTAATTCTAGAATAATCTCGCAAAAATGAAAGGAGGAATTGGAGAAAAATCTTCATTCTGGCTTCAAATCATTTCAGTCGGTGGATACATATCGTCATCAATTGCGAGAAACGTTGACGTAAGAAGTGCGCATAGAATTTCCAAGAAAAAATTCAGATTAAATTCGGAACTCTGTCATCAAAATTGTTCTCATTGGTATCATATATAAAAAACCAACTCATCAGAATCATCGCGTATGGATCGGTGAGAATTAAATTATGAATCCTACGCATTCTTAAACTAATTAGCATTTAACTCATAGATTCTTTCCGTTCTGGTTATTTTGTGGATGTTTATCCTCCACAACAGATATGCCAGCAGATGGCTTACAGTGAAGGGAATTCGAAAAAAGAAAATGTGGGCGAGCCACAACGAAACTGCTTTGTAGTCGCCTGAAGTGATAGCTGTTTCTTTGCTTATGATGCGACTGTAATGCTGCGCTTAGTAAACGAGTATTTCCCACATATGAACACCTTTGGATAGAAGACGTGTCTTTCAAACTGCACATACTTTCTAAGATTGCTGGCGTGATCCGATCAATCGAGTATTTGAACGGAACGAATTTCATTTCATTCATTAGACAAGTACTAATCACTTTGAACGGATGCAATCAGATTCAATGAAGATTTTAAAATTGCATTGTTAAGCCACCATACATTGAATGGGGTCATATGAGATAAAAATAAAGCGATTCATCGAAATTTGACAGGAATATGTTAGAATGAAGCATTGAATGCACATGTTTTGATTGAATTTGAAAAGATAATTCATTTTAGTTAGCAACGTAATCTTCGAAAATGATATCACATTGAAAATTGGTTTGTGAATCAGGAAATCAATGAGAAGTGAATATCGGAAACGTTCAGCGGCATTCTGAAATCAACTAACTTCTCGGAGGTGCTCTCTTGACACGTCGCAACTGTCGCAGAAGTGACTGCACTTGAAGATTTGTTGATAAATCAGCACTTACATCATCGCTACCAATTATCGTCTGACCGAACGCTGCCAATGCAAAACTGATCACGATCAACCCCAGCAGGGGCCAACCAGCTGGTTGCAGCATACTCGCCTGAATTAAACTGTCTGATTTGGAACTGCAATGCGCATTCTGATTTATGAAAGCATTTTGAGAATACTTGAATTCATCTTAGCAGTTTTTTGAATGATTTCAATGAAATGGATGGTGCCGTATGAGCATTGAGTGTATATATCGATTCTTGTGGACTTTAATATTCAGTGTTTGAGGTGAGTGCAAAAAGTTCAGCTCATAACTCTGAATCTGACAAATGTAAAAGAAAAGAATTTTGTTGAGTTCTCGTATCGCTCTTCATAAGTTTCCTCCATGATGACAGAAACCAGAACGATAAATAAACTGGCAAACAAATCGTTCGGTAGAAAATGGTTGCAACATTCGTTTTCAACTCATACTGAATCACTTGTTTTCAAATTTGCTGCGGTACACTCTTTGAAATTACTCTCAACGGCTCGACACGCATACGGCCTCAAGTCTGCACTTCGAATTTTGATGCATTCAGTAAATTATTACCGGGACCGACGTGCATTCAATCGCGACATCATGAAAACATAGGTAATGGGAACCTGACTGCTCATTTCTTTCAAGCAGAGCAACCATGAGTGATGAAAAAAATGTCAATGTAAGAAAGTTGGAAACTAACGTTAAGTACGAAACTAACGTTAAGTAGTGCTGGATTTTGTTTTAATGCTTCACAGTCGTTGTTTCATAAGATTGCACAGATAGATCGCGCTGAATAGAATGAATAGAATTGCGGTTCGATTGAATGTTTGATGAACGGTGATTGCTTCTCTTCAAATTTGTAATTTATTCCTTCTTATAATCCACCAATATTCATCATCGTACGAAAAGACGTTTCATTATTGATATAATGATGCGTTATTACAATTACAACAACATTCACGTGAGCATGTGTCAACATCTTCAAATCAGTTCTTCAAAACTGTAATATTACTGTACAAAAAACATCACAGGAATGACACTGCTCATTCGGATGAATAAAATTTGAGAGTTTGGAAACGAAGCGATCAAAAGGAGAAGTACCGCAGCAGGAGCGAGATCAAAAAGAACGCATTGGAAGTTTACTTCAATTTGCCCACAAAGCGACAGTTCTGTTGACTCCATGCATACACTAACTATAAGTAACCGGTCTTGCATGACGAAGAATTCTGTGGAGAAAGGAATTGCGATACCGATTTAACCCTCTGAAACGAACGACTTGAGAAGGGATTCAAAAGAGATTACCAAGTTCCAAAGTGAACTGCTAAGTGGATGACATCTCAACGTTTGTGACATAAAGATAGACTAAACTGATACAGCCATCTAATGGCCTATTCTCTCCGAACGAACCACTCTTTGAGGAGTGATGATAGAGCATGTAAAGGGAAGAAAAATGGAACCGGCTAATCTCGAAGAAAAGGTGTGAAGCGAATGAAAGAATGTTACAAATTTATGTGTTATTGCTGCAGGCAGCAGTCGCTTATTTGTGATGACAATAAGCTTCTCGTTGTTCATACAAAAAAACATGAAGCGCGTTAAGATGATGAACAAAAGGTATTGTATTGCATTAAATGTTGGCTGTAAAGTGAAGAGCAAAATTTGAGTAGCATATCAATTGAAATGAATATGGAATTAGTGGCGTCAGGTAGCCTCCGAAAAGGGTTGCTACATCATTTCTAACAACGGCATTTGAAACGCTATTCGGTTAGCAAGGAATTTTGGTGGTGAAGCGATGATGTGCATTACTCATATTCATTCAAGAAGCATCAATTGCTAAACATACCTATCTCGTTCAATGCGTATTCATCTTCACTACAATATAATATCTCGTCCTACCTTTGGCGATCGTTCAATGAATAATTCCTTCGCACAATGCAGCTTTCATTCACATTACATTCATGGCTTATAGTATTTTAAGTGAAATCGTCAAATCACAACCGAAAATTGCTTTAAAAAAGCTGACGAGCAAGTGCAATACATTGCATCAAGTAATAACAATTTCGCCGGAAGTAGCTCCTGTATGTTATATTTTCCCGAATCCGTGCGTGTCACGAAATGATGCAAGCAGCTGACTTCACAGTCCGAATGCCGGAATGCGGTGAAGATGATTCTGCTCAACACGTGAGCAAGCCTCATTGTGAGGAACGACTGAAAGAGTCATCAGTGGAAAATCATTAGCGCGCGACTGACTCCCTTTGTTCAAATGATTCTCAACGATAATTCAGTTGAAAAGAACGAAATCAATAGAACAATATCCACTATCCGTAGTCTGTGTTCCACTGTTTCTTCAGAGAATCATCAGACTGCTTACGTAACGGTTTATTACAAGTAACGCGTGCGAGTGATTGATGGAGTTTCTGTTGATGCTATCAAAATTCCTACTAACCGAGAAGAAAATTTAAAAATAGCGGGCTGATGGGAAGAAGAAAAAATAGCAACAGAAACCTAGGTTTATGAAAGCACTTCGGAGATCACAAAACATGGTCATCATCACATATACTGCATGAAAAACAGCAAGGAAGACAGCTATTATGAAATTAAGAGGTACAAAATCAATTATTGCTTTGGGCATGATGATTGATTTATACGAACCATAATGAAATGAACTAAGGAAAAAATTGTAAATAAAATAAATGTAAGATAGATGAACGTATGAATAAATGTGCATTCATTAAGCGAACGTTAAAAAGCAATTCCTCCATTTGATGTTAATCTTATCCAATGATAAGCATTATGTACAGAGCACGCTTCCGCTACAGCCCGTTTTTTCACCGTTTTTATAAATTTCTGCTGAAGCTATATGCGAGGCTTCAATCAATCTAACCTAAGCGATTACATCGGTGTCATAAATAATGTGTATCGACAAAAATATGGTGTTCTCATCTTTCGAAATGCCTTCCTGCAATAAAGCATACATACTGAGATGGTTTTAAATTTTCCAGAGATTAATCAGGCTTACGTAGAATGTATGACAACTCAGACATTTAGGTCTTTTTTAATCCTAGTATTTAGTTGAGCAGATCGCTTATTTGGAAACAGCATGAAAAACATGTGGAATAGTTGTGGCAATCGATCGAAGGTTGGTCGGCACGGAAAATGCATCCAGAGTTACTATTACAGGTCAGCAATTTTAGAGGTTTTTTGGCCGGATTCCGATCGAACAGTGTTAAATTCCCGTCCGATAGCCGCATTTTGGAATTTTCAAAAATATATTCGTTTAGATTTTGAATGAGAAGTTTGAATTTTAATCAGGAAAACCGAATTTCGGAATTTCCGAAACTTGGACCAGGTGTCCGATGGATTCTTCTCCTTACTTCCTTTCTCTGATTCCTATTTTCCGCACTTTTTTCCTTACTCTCCTCCTTCTCCAGGAAAGGGAGGGGGGGTTAAATTCTCCTTGCCCTTTCCCTTTCGATACGCCACTGCACTCTACGATTCACTTCGAATTGTGAGTAATTCGTTTGCAAGTAAACCCAAAATAAGCCTGCATAATTCTTTATCGTTCGCTCTTAGTTATACCATTAATCATTGCGTTTCGCACTAATAACGTGCATTTTACATGAATTGTGCGTTGGACAACACCACTTTTTGCATTAATTTGAATGAATTTCCGTTTTTCAGTAAGAAGTAAGTGACCATATCGAAAATCACATCAAAATGTTAATTAACAAACGGATTATTCGTTATCAAATATTCTTACACTTTAAATCGGATTGATACGAAGTGCGAGAATTATTTGTTCCTAATTAACGCCACGTCCGAACTAACAGGGAACTAACCTCCCATGTACATCAATCAAAGCTTAAGCCTTAACTACGACTCTAGAAATCGCCGTAATTAAGTTATCTGCTATAAGTAACAGAGGAATGTTTGCCTATCGAATGCAATTTTCACACTCTTCATTCTTAAGTTGACCCATTTTAGAGATCCGATGAATGATGCTGCAAACATCTGCACTTTGATGAATAACTTTGCAGATCAATATCAGTGAAGGAAAAATGAGCAGGACTCAGAATTATTCAAGCACTTTTGGAAGTGCTCATGGAGAAGGATCTTCATACTGATATCAAGTGGGTATCTTTGAGTTAAATGTACCCCAAATGTATGAGTTAGAAAGCTGCATAAGTCGAAAAATTACATGAATTTCTTGGGAGATTACATACTCTTATGGGTGATTATGGAAAATCGCGATCTCTTCTATCGAAAGGATGCCATATTAAAAAAAAACGCGCTTCCTGACAGTGAAGTTCAACTGAGATCGCCGTTATCGAACAGCAGAATTTGGTGAATAGTTTCAGCCGACTAGGCTAGAAGTATTCGGAAGTGTCGCTTGAATGTGTGTGCTTGACAAGATTTGCTATTGCCATCATCACTGCAATAACGTTGCTTTTGCTGCCTAGGCATGTCGAAAAGCAAACGCGTTACTTTATTTAGTCTTAAGCCATTCAAATTTATTCATTTTTTTAAAGTTTACAATTTTGAATACTTCAAAGACGACTGCTCCTCGGCTACAATCGAAAATGTTGTTCGCTTCATTTAATAAGTGTATCTTTTTGTGCGTAGATTACGTATTGATGTGCACTGCTCGCTCGCAAACTTTTTCGATGTGATGAGAAGTAGGCAACTCGAAAAGAGTATTCGCTCATCGAAAATTTTACCATTATGTTTCGCAATTTGTCAGCTGTTCAATGATGATTGTTCGAATTATTTTCTTATGTGAACATTCTAACAAAGAATTTAAGATCGTTAATTCAGTTTTAGGAACATTGGGTTTGGTGAATGATTCACACACAAAAAAAAACAGAAGAAATTGATGAGCCCTTGGAATCAACAGAACCGAGAGCAAGAAAGCGTTGCTTCAAAGAGGAAAATGCCAATTTTTATGGAATCACTCTTTGTGGAAGTTGAGCTCGAAGCAATTGGTCGAATTGTTATTGCTACAAAGAAATGAGAATGGAGTGAGGAACTGTCACTTTTTTCGAAAGTAGTCAAGTTCAAGAACCGATGCAATTGGGAGCTGTTCGATTTTT